CCTATATTCCCTCATGGCCTTCCTCCCCTCCTCCTGGTTAGGGTTCCCGCTGGGATCCGTTAGTGGCAATTTCTGTTCACCTGATGGCACCTGGGGTCCTGGATGGTTATCTTTCTCCCAAATTCTTATGCCAACCGCCCTAATCATCTGGACCTCTTCTGGGGAAAATAATATACTCAGGATGGAATTCATCTCCCCCCAAGTGTAGATATTTGGACCTAGAAATTGATCCACTTGGTTGGCTATGCCCACTGGGTCCTCAACTAAATGCCCCAACTCTTTCTTGAATCCTCTCACCTCAGAAGCAGTTAGGGGAGCATTCACAAAGCCAACACCTCCCGCTACTCCTCCCATAGGAACCTCTCTGAGGGGAAAGAGTCTCTCTGCCTTGGAGGTCTTGGATCTGGTGCTACAGTATGGCCCATCTTCAGATGCCAAACTGCTTTGAGGGATATCTGGGTTACCCTGAACGTTCTGCCCATCAGCAGGTGTATTTGCTGATAGCTGTTTACTGGGCGAGGAGGCATTTGTGTCCCAACTAGGAGGAGGTAAAGGGACAGCAATAGGTGGGGGAGAAGAGCCTGAGTGAATATTAAGTGGAGCTGGAGAAGGGGTGGAGAATGCAGCAGGTGGAGTAGGCACTTGTGGTGGTGCAGAAGGAACTGGAGGGGCTGAAGGGGGTTGTGAGGGAGTGGTTACCGGAGGGGATACTGGGTTTATCATAGCGGAAGCTGAAGAGGTAGAAGGAGGAATTTGAGCAGGTGGTAATGAGATGGCCGCTGGGGGAACAACCGGACCTGCCCTTTGAGGTGCTTGAAGAAGAGGATTATAAAGTGGCGGGGCAGAAGGAGGCAAATAATCCAGGGGGTCCCATCTTTTACTAGTCCTATCATCCCCTCCTTCATTTCCCTCTTTCTTCCTCTGTATCTTACAAATTCGCATCCCTTCATCTTCAATAGCGCTCTTTACCCAGCAAGCTACATACAGTAATTGCTCAGGATCAGTATCTCCTCGAGCTGTCACATAATTATTTAATTGTTGGCACATCCACTTATCCTTTGTCCCACACCAAGGCCATCCTCCTTGCACCTCTAATTCTGGCCACACTTCCATACAATAATGGATCATTTTCACTTTATCTAATCCCTCCGTGGCCTCTATAGAATCCCATTTTAGTAACAGTTCTCCCAAGGGACTATTGGGATGTATTTCCCTCAGTCTCTTGCCGGTCTTTTTACTATTACACCCTCCCATTTTCCAGGTCTCAATAAAAAGTCCCAAAGGTGCCTCTACTGACAGGTAATTTCAAAAACAACCTTGTTTGAGGAGATTCAGCCTCCTCCACTGAACTTCAAATTTCTGCCTGATGCTCAGGACTTTATACTGAAACAACTGCCCGATCTCTTGATTGCCCAACTTTCCCAACGTCAGGTCTTACATCTATCGGGACTTGAACACACGAAGCCTCGGCCTTAAGAAACCGGGTCGTGCCTGACTCCCTCAGTCAGGAAAAACAACTGCCTGATTTTTAGTTTGCCTAACCCGCCAATTTTTAGGCTTCACCGTATCAGGACTTAAAAGCAAACCACAGCCTCCTTCTCTGGGGTTTGTGCCTGACTCCTTTGTCAGGACTTACTTTGCCTGCAGGGCTTGTGAGCTACCCGAATCCTTCTCGGGACTGACAAATCTTACTCGAATCCTTCTCGGGACTTACAAATCTGCCTGACTTCCCTCTGTCAGGACTTACTTTGGGTACGTGCCACTCATACAAATATTCCCTCTGCACGCCCGGAGGGGGGGGGCCCTTTATTCCCCCTTGGGAGACGACTCACTCACACAAATTCGAAGCACCACCCCCTGTTCCCGGCCGGCCCCTTCGCAGGAGTCCGGAAACACGGTACTGAGGGGTCCACTCTCAGGTCGAGGGTCCGGCTGCCAGCCCTCTCACTCACACACACATGCGCACGTCTCCCACTCCTGCCACCGGATTTCTCACCAGTCCGGTGCTCCGGTGCTCCTCTGCGTCGCTGCTCCTGAGCCGATCCTTCTGGTCCTGATAGCCAGCTGTCCTGAGGGTCCAAGATGGCCAGTCCTGAGTCCTCTTGCGGCGTGGCTATTCCGGACGAGCACCCCAGCTGAAATAAACAGGGCCAGGAGACTTCTTCTCCTTTTTAATGCCTTTATTAAAAGTGATCAGCTCAGGATTGGGCGGCTCGGCAGGGCTGCAGTCCCTGTCCTGTCTCCCAGGGCGACTCAGAGGAGGAGGATATGCGCAGCTCTGTCCACTAGGGGCAGAGCTGGGGGATCCAGTCCTCGTGGGAACCTTTAGGGCATGGTGTCTCCATCAGATCTCCCCGCTTCGGTCCGAGTCTTGCTTCCTCCCAGACCTGGCCCGGGAACTCTCAAAGACAGGGTGAGGACCAATGAAGGTTTCCAGCATTTCTGCAGGCCCAGCACTCCGCTCCTCACATCCAGACATCACTGCAGTCTCTCATCTCTTATTTGGCTCGTTGTTTTTGGGGTTTTCTCCGTGGGTTTGGAGTCGGGGTCCCACAAAGCATGCTGGTCTTGGAGTCACTTTGCATAACCTCTCCCCTCCAGATCTCTTCTCCTCACTGTTTGGGAAGGTCTCCACCCATTACTGTCTCTGAGAAGGGCCATTACCTCGCCCTAGCCAGGGCTTTTACTAATACAAAAACAACCATTAACGACAACGACCCGTAATTACCATAACACAGGCAGCAGCCCAGCAGTAGTGGTAACTTTTTTTCTCACAGAAAAAAATCAACTGAATTTTTGTTCATAACAAAGGGGGTGGGGCGGTCAGGGAGAACATTGGAGAGGAGCCCTGACTGAGAAGCAACAACAGCGCTGCTGTGAAGACAACACTGCTACTGTGTTCTAGCCTGGCTACTGAGATAGTTGCGTCCCCTCACCAGCAAGGCTGCCAAAGAAATCCTCTACTGTAAACAGCTCCGCCACTGCCCGGCAGAAATCATATGACCTCTCACCAGGCCTGGGTGAGATATTAACTCTTTCAGTGCACAGACGAGACCTACAGGCATCAATCCTCCCTTGGGTGAGAGAAGAGGACAGAGTGAGAACATGTAGAGGAACAACATGAAGATACCAAGGTCTTTGAAGAACAGTTCAAGTCCCAGATGGAAGGGATGAGGCCATGCCTCGATCTTGGGGTTGAAGTACTCTTGTAAAGCCATGGAAAAGATATAATTGATACATCAGACTCTTGTTCCCTGTAACCCATTGAAAAGTATGGGGGATGAAGCGTTCAAATTGTAGATATGAGCAAAGGCATCTATCCTAAAGCAAGCAGGTGTTGAAGTTGCTGTAATTTCATGAGAAGCTTGAACAGAGAGAGAAGAGTGATGAAGACCCTCCGCCCCAGGGAAAGAAGAAGAAAACCTCTGTTCTCAGGGATGATCTCAGATATAGATAAAGAGAACCCTTGCTCTTGAACAGCTCATCCATAAAATAATACCCCATAAGTTGGCATGGCCCATAAACACATCTGTGGGAAAAGCTGTGAAAAATGGGAGGGACTTCATGATTGCAGATTTTCCGGGTGGCTGCTATTCATGGAAATTAAAAGCTATGAGAGAACTGTTTTCTTGTGGAGAAGTCTTCGTAAATCGACAAGAGGGTCTCCTCTCCCTAAGTGAACTGAAGAAAGACTATTCTAGAAGTGATAAACTGACTGAATTGTTTCTGTACATTGTGAGTGGGAAAGAAAAGGTTATAGGGGGGAGGAGAAGTGTTCTAAAGGTTTTATTTTGATTCTTCTTTTTCTTTTTTATTAGTTACTGTTAATAAAGATTTCTTTATACCTTTTTAAAGTTTTGAACCTGCTTTGCCTTCATCCTAATCCTATCCCACAGCAGGAAATGAGTAAGTATATTCTAGTAGGTGCACTGGTGTGTTGCCAGCGCTAAACCCACCACATTTTTGTGAATTGCCAGAGAGCAAGAATGACCAAAGTGAGCAAGGGCTTTCTAATTATTCTATGAGACTTTTCTTGTCTGCTACAGTTTCTTTTTTTACTGTATCCGCTATGTTTCCCTCTCAAATGAGATGGAATAAGGGGTTGCTTGATTTTGCTATGGCTCATTAAAGAAGGATGTTAGAGGAGCAGTCACATTGGACTCATGTTCTTTTGAAACTCCAGTACTTGGTACTCTTAGGGCAAAATAGATGTGAAATCAATGTGACATGCACCTTTGTGTCAGTGCATGGCTGCTCTGCTCTTCCAATTGCTTCTTGCTGCCACACATAAGAAATAAGAAAAAGTATGATGGATGGCATTTCAAAAATGCAATACACTATGTATTTGAGAAGGAAAACCCTTATTCCTACTGAAGATTTACTGGTTGTTTTGTACTTTTTGGGGGCTTTGTGGCTTTGGCTATTTCACTGAAGAAGTCAGCAATGGCACCTTAACTTCAGCTTAACAGTCTGTGTTAATAATTGTTTTTAAAATTATGATTTGTATTAAATTGGGAGCAATTTAATTTTAGTTGAATTACCAGCTGATCGAATACCCACAAGAAGTGGATATCAGAATACATTTTCAGGGGACTTCCCTCCTATGTCAGGATGTTTAATTTTATATCAGCCTCGAAGGGAGACAAACAAGCCTTTGTGAAATGCACCTCAGGAAACATTCCCACCCAAGGGAGACTCAGAAAAGAGTCCAAGTGGTATGGCTTTCACATGGTATTTTATTTACTTGCCACTTAGTTTTTTGTTCATTAAGTTTTTCACTTGTACACTTGACTGTCCCATTAGAGCCTCTGGCTAGATCTACCCTCTGACTAGATCAAATCTGAGCCATTTTACAGTGTGGCCAGGAATCATTTTTTATTTATCACTTTTTTTTAGCCCTTTTTTTTTCTGCTTCTATCTGCATTTCTCAGAGCAGGGATTAAAATAACTTTTTGAAAAATTTTTAATCTGGTAATTCATCTTTTGTGTTTCCTTTCTAGGCCGAATTCATCAAGCTATGGTAACATCTCTAAATGAAGATAATGAAAGTGTAACTGTTGAATGGATTGAAAATGCAGATACTAAAGGCAAAGAGGTAAACCTAATTATTTTAGAACTTTTGTCTTTTAAAAAATGTGCCATCTGCATGAATTATGCTTTGGAATTTGCACTGGAAATGGAGAAAATGTAAATCTTAATTTACATAACTGTTGCCTTTTTCAACCTAGAAATGAAACTCAGGAGAGTTTTAATATAGGAGGTAATATAAAAGTGTATCTTTATTTGTAGGCCTCCAGGGGCATTTATAGGGAATGTCCACAAAAGCCCACCCCTACAAGGGGTGCATACAGTTTTATAGGTTTTGTAAATTAGCATAATTGACAAAAAAAACAATTAGGAGCACAAGTGGTGAGGCAATTCCCCCTGGATCAAGCCCCTTCTAAGTCTTCCCTTCCTCAGTACTAGCTGTACTTTGTTTATCGTGAAGAGTTCTTCTCAACCTTGGTAGCCAGGAAGAACCAAGATAGAATAGGGTCCTTGTACCCCCCAGGGCTTGGAGCTCTGGAATTTGTTTTCTTTCTGTCTAGGGAAAGGGCATGGAAAATTACTGGGACAATCAGTCACTAATGCAATAGGTTACAAATATACTTGTAAAGAATGCAGAAAATATATAAGGGAAAAAAAGGCAAAAATCAAAATGGCATCAGATGATTCTTTGTTTACAGACTGTTTTAAATGGGAGTTTTTAGGCAAATGCTGGTTTCTGCTGTATTAAATTTTACGTCCGGAGTTCTTTGTTATAGCTTTTATATAGTGCTGTTCATATTTTGATTTTGAAACAGATTACAAAGGCTGAACTTGTTACCCTTTTTACAAGTAGAAAAATCAAATTTTCAAGAGGGATAATGACTTGCAATTCAGACAGGAAGCCAGTGGGAACTGGATTAAAAATCCTTTTCTGTTTGTATTATTGAGGGATTAAACTGCTAGTCTGTTTGTTTTAGGCAATAATTTTCCAGCCCTGCTTTCTTTAAGAAACTGTGTCTGTCTCAGTTATGCTTTGCTGTCCCATCTTCCTGTAAATTTTGGACCATGTTGGCCAGTTTCAGCTGAAATTTGGAGAAGTGACGAAAGTGAAGGGAGACTTGCACATCCTATTGATGATCATTGGTCTCAGATTTATTGATCCAGCTTACATACTTTTATAGTAGTGTTAATTAAGCTCATACATATTGCAAAAGCTAAGCTCATCATTGGTTACAGATTACATGCCAACCCCTCCTTTGTTGCTAATACCTGTGGTTTCTTGTTGAGGCTAATACTTGTTTTTCATATCCTGCTGTTGACTGTTATTTACTAGCCTCAAGGACTCCATGTTTTTCACCATGTTTTTCTCATCATATAACCAAGGACACAGTGTTATTGTTTTTCTCGTAAGGAAAAAGGCTGAGAACTTACTACTTACAGCTGCTTCTTACTGCTTAACCAGCTGTATATGATCATGGCCTTTTTCTATAAGCCATGTCTGAACAAAACTCTCCACAGAGAAGCAGCTCAGAAATAATTGCATTTCACCAGTTTTGTCAAAACATGGGAAAAAGGAAAAAAAAGGTTGTGAGAATGTCCTGGTGATCTCATCAGCTGAACTCATCTTGCTAGATACAGAATCCATAGAGTAGTGAGGTCTTTGAAAGGTCCAGCCAGAGGAAGTAGCAGTCTATAGAGACCAAAGCTATTTAAGATTTTAGGAAACCGAGTTTCAATAGATCTGAAGCCAGTTATTTTTAAGTTCCTGTCTTATCCTCCTTACATTTTGCAGCTTTTTGAATGAGGAGGGCTTACAAGGAAAAAAAATAGAATCATAAATTTGATGTGGCTTCAACTCTACTTATTATTTCTTGGGTGATTGTAGTTCATGTGTTTCTTTTGCATTGTCTGGGAAATTTCAAATGATTGAGATTTCTTTCTTTTTATGTTACAAAATGTCTTTCATATTCTGCAGTGACTGTCAAATTACCACAGTAATACTATCTACTTCTGTTTTAATTTAATCACTTTACAGAATTATCAATACTTATTGGTATCACATCCTACTCCTAAGAAGAAGGGAACACCCAAGATTCATAGATGCCTGTGGTTGAAAATGTCAAAAGCTAGAAGGGTCTGAAAAAGCTTACAAAGTTTTATTATCAAATCATACACTTGGTGTGGAAATTGGTATAAGTTTTGTCCTTATTTTCTAGTAGTAAGAGAAATAGAAGAAAAGAAGGAATAGAGAGAGAGTGAGAGATCAGGTAGGAGAGGAAAGGAGATCACCAGTCCTGGTTCCAGTGTTGATCCAGCTGATGGGGTGTTCAAGGTCCGGGAGGTATCTTTGTGGGGGTATCTTTTTATAGATAAGTTTTCCCCGCCTTAGGATTAGGTTTCTTGCTCTCCTCATCAATGAAGTAGCATGCACAGTCTGCTCTTCTAAGCCTTTCTGGAAATGGATTGGGGGACTATGAGGGTCTTTGGTCGTCTCGATCCTCCTCTATTGGATTGGCCTTCTGTCCACAGTTCATGCCCATTTCTTGACCTCACTTCTGCGCTTGCACTGTCCTTTACATTGTGAAGTCACCGTGAACCAGAACAGGGAAGTGGGCCACAGAAAGGTACTGCCCTACCTTTGTATGGTCTTCCTCTCCAGCCACATCCTGTTCTAACTTGCCCACTTGCACAGCTATCAGTGTTTGAGACATAGCAGTGCATTAACTCCTTGCTGTCCAGGCTTTGACATATGGTTATTTTTAATTACTCTCTTTTCTGAAGGATCTGTTTTAAACTTACATGAAGACCAAAGCTTACACTGTTTTTAGTGAAAATAAAATAAGATCATTGAGGTTATAGAATTAAGAAATTGTGGGGTAAAAGCACTAAATATATTTATTGTTTATTCTCAAAAATATCAGGAGAAATAGAGGGTAAATATTGTTCTAAGAATCATAAATGTATTTTATATTCTTTTACACAGATTGACTTGGAGAGCATATTTTCACTTAACCCAGATCTTGCATCTGATGAAGATATTGAACCTAGTCCAGAGACACCACCACCTACTTCAACAGCTAAAGTGAACAAAATCATGAAGGTTGGTAATACCTATGCAGCATGTTCATATTAAACTTTCAGTACTCCTATACACGTTGTTATGCTTGAATTTTTAAATCTAACTTTTGTGTCTGTGGAACTACTTGATAAGTGTGTTCCTTTCTTTTTCCTATGCTGAATAGGGGTTTCTAACAATTTTATAAGAACAGGTTTGGTAGAAAAGGAGTTGGGGACTAATATTTATATAACTAAATATATCTCAAGGAAAAATATAGAAAATGTTTTGGAGGTTGTTTTGAAACAGTATACATAGTTTAGTCTTCACCCTGGGCTCTTATAGGAAGGATTTGGCAGCAATCACTTCTTTGTATTGATGATGTCATGTTATTTTTATTTACTGGAAAGAAGCAGAGGTAGGGCTGCAGTTTACATTTTCAATAATAAGGTGATCAAATAACAGATATTTCTTTCTTTTACAGAGTCGACGAACCATGGCACCTATTAAGAATGACATTCCTGCCAGAGATAACAGAGGTAAATGTTATCTCTTTCCCTTTGTCCGCGTTTGACACTGGGTAAGCCCCAGGCACCCACGAAAAATCATTTATTCATTCTCCTCTGCTATAGTTGAGCAGAGGAGGGGAAAAGAACAACTAAAGGGGTTCATGAGTTGAGGTAAGGATTGGAAAGAAACACTTTAAGGGCAAAACAGGCTCAAAACTTTAAAGATATAAAGAAAAATTTATTAACAGAATTAAAATAGGATAATAAGAATTAAAATAAACCTTTAGAACACTTCCCCTCCCCCCAGCCCTTTTTTCCTTTCCACCGACAGCACAGGGAGACAAAACATGGTGTTTTTAGTCAGTTTGTCACTTCTAAAAATCTTTCTTCAGTTCGCTTGGGGAGAGGAGTCTCTTCTGCTATGCCGTGGGATCCTTCCCATAGGAGACAGTTCTTTGTGAACTTCTCCAATGCCATTCTAATTTTCACAAGTAGTAGTCCTGCCCAAACCTGCTGCAATGTGAGTCCCTTCCACAAGCAAAACAGTCGTCCCATAACTGTTTTTTATGGGTCATTTAGCTCATGGAGTACAGTTTTTAAGGATGAGCTGTTCTAGTATAAAATCAAGGGTCCTCTTCCTCTATCTCTGGAAGCAAGGGTCCTCTTTCTCTCTTCAAGTTTGTCACTAGGTTATAGCTTTTCAGTATCCACATGCTCCAACGTGAGCACCTTTTTCTCATGAGCTGTGGGTAGACTTCTACATCCCCCCATGAACTTCATGAATTAAAGGGAAACAGTTTGTTATTTTATAGTCCTCACCACAGCTTGTAGATCAGCTCCGATGCCTGGAGCACCTCCTTCACCCCTCCCTTCTTTTCACTGACCTTAGTGTCACCATGTTGTTCTCCTCACGTGTCTTCAGCTTTTCTTTTTCTCTGTCTTGGGAGAAAATTGGTCTCCATAGGTTTTTTTGTTGTCAAGTTCCCTCACCTGCTGGCCATGTGGTCCCTGCTGGCACCATGCAGGCAGTGCCGGCCACCAGCCTTTTTTAATGCGAGGCACTGAAAAAAAAGAAAGCTACTGCTGCCACTCCTGCCTTTCTGTCTGCAGCATGGCTGGTTAAAACCAGCTAAGCAAGTAAAGTTCATTGCAAGCCATGCTGAGAGAGCAGCAGCCACGTGGCACCACCCCAACCCCGTCCCCCTGGCTGCCTGATTTCAGCGGCACCGTCTTGGCCACATGGGTACTCCCAGCACTGATCTTGGCCATGTGGCTGCTCATGGCACTGGGATGGCCCCTCTAGCGGAATGGCCCCGGCTGAGAAGGGCTCCGGCAGCCATTCAGGGAAGGGGCCTGGCAGCCCCCTTGCCACCCTTCTGAGGGGAGGAAGAAAGAGAGATTGCACGCTTTTTTTTCATTCTTAAATATGTCACCACAGAGGTGTTACAAACTTCTCTAATCAGGCCAGCCAATATGTCCATCGTCAGAGCTTTCAGGGATTGTCTCTGCTGGACATAAAAGTTTCAAGGAACTTTTCTTTCAGAAGCAGCCTCTGTGTCTTCCTCCACCCCAGATAAAAGCCAGGTTGTGTTAAACTAACACACCCTTTCAAGGAAGTAAAAACATATGAGAACACTTTAATCTCCTGCTCATATAACATTTCTTGATAGCTCTGCATTTCTAATTCTAACCCTATGAGTGATTTGCAGAAAAAAAAACTCCATGACTTGTAAAAGTTGTAAAGCCAGTATGATTTATTACAGTGCCAGACGCATGCAGGATAGCTCCCTCAAAGGACATGCGCACTCCCAAGAATTCCCGAGTATATTTTATCCCTTAACTTGTTGCATATGCATAAAGTTTCATTTCCTATCCCCGTTTTGTATTAAAACTGTCTTATCAGTTTTTATGAGCCTGTGCAGTTCTCCAGTAACGTCACTGTAATGTTCACTGTGCCTGCAACCCAGCTTCAGTTTTCTTTCCAAGGTCAGTGGGGCCCCTCCTTATCTCTCTCCAGCTTGGAAGCTTGCATTCCTTTCTAAGTAGCCTTGAATCTCCTCTGTTCTCTCTGCAGGCCTTTTGGGAGCACAGCAATTTAGCAGACTAAATAAGTTTAGCAGGCTATAGACTAAACAAGCTAAAACAGCACTCTTCAGCTAAATCCAAAACTGGTTTCTACCCCAAGTTAAATTTCTAACCCCCTGTCTCAGGATTATATCTGCCTTTACAGTTAATAGTGAAAAATCTATAAAAACACTCAAATATCACAAGAGGATAAAAGTTTGTGTTGTATGAATATAGATGCATCTAATAACAAGACAAAGAATAGTTATTTCTCATTGTTTCTGTGAGAAGCAACCACTCACTTTAGAAATTTTAAAAGGTTTTAAAAATCATTTTAGTGCTTTTCACTGTTCCTCTCCTTAACAGATACTTGTAATTTTCATAGGACAATTATATTAATGACTAATATAATTTTAATTCTCTGTTTAAAATGTTACTTAAACAGTTATCTAAAGCATGTAGAGTAGTCTTGTGAGGCTTTCACTTGTCTTTCACAAAGTACAGTAACAGGGGAGTAGTGTTAGTCTATCAATATACGAGAATGAGTTCACACATTTATAAGTTTTAACAAGTCTACCGCAAAATTAAGGCACAAGGTAAGAATATAAATAACAGCAGTTTGAATGGGTTGGTTTGTATCTGTTACAAGCTAAGTTGAACTCTACATATTGTACACCGGGAGTTAGGGGCTCCTCTGGTCAGTAGAGCTCAGTAGTGATACATACACATTGACATGCACAAACACACATTTGTTTTCTCAGGTGAGACAGCAGCCAGATGCACAGAGCTGTGCATCCAGAGCCATGTTTCTGGGCATGCTCAGTCCATGTCTGCACGTAGGGGTATATGCAGAAGTAGTACACACACACAGGTACTTGTTTATTGGTATAGAATCTTGGAGTACAGAGGTACTTGTTAGCAGCACACACTTGTACACACACACGGAGCTGTGCACGCTCTACTTGCACATGCTAGCACGTGTGCCACAGAGACACTCACTTATGTACAGTCTCTACCAATGCACACACACTCACAAACACAAGACTTGCTTGTATGTAGAACTTGTGTACATTAACGCAAGTATATATCTGTGCACACTAATATGTGTAATGTCATAAACACACATCTCTTACACAGGGCTGTGCTCACACTTGTAGAACCTGTGCACACTCGCAAACACAGAGCTGTAGACAAACTTAGTCACACCTGAGAGGGGGTAATTTAACACACATGTATATAGTAATGCACATAACACGTGTACACCTTGGTACTTGTGTGTGTGCACCCAGTGTTGTGCACACTGGCACACACAGGTATTATATGTGTAGACTTACACACTTTGGTACACATGTCCCCATAGATACACACTGGCACATATGTGTAAAGCACTCCCCAGAGCTCTTCTGGAAAGAGAGTAGTAGGACATTTGTACTGCTTGTTACCACCTTGCTACTTCTAGGTAGTATTTTACTCTCTGTGCCTTTGGGGTGGGATCAGACAGTGTTGTTTTAAAGGAAAGGTTAAAGACTGTTGGATTTTTGCTTCCTGCCTCTTACCTTACAATGGCAGGAGGGCACAAAACTGAGCACCTTTTTGTTGTTTTGTCTTTGCTAGAGGCTTAATCGACACAAAGGGGAGGCCATTTATTTAGATTGTGGAGATTTGGACAAGTACTTCTCTTGCAGAGAACAATTTTAGCATAACAAGTATAGAAAAAAATTTGGCCTATCTCCTTTATAAGGAAAAGAGGTTTCTCTTTTGAAATGAATACAAACTAAAACCAGAGAGAAAGGTACTGAAAAGAGAGAGAACAAGGCATAGACTGGCTGTCCCCTGTTCTCAGAATGATGAAAGAAAATGCTGAGGCACTTTCTAGTAGATGAGACTGAAGGCTTTGAAATGAAGAGGTGCTAAATTTTCAAATTCTCATGTTCCCATGGGATATATTAATGTCTCATCCTGTGCCTCTATTCTTTTAAGGCTAAGTATAGATTTATTGCATCTTCTCTGAAGAGGGCAAAACAAAAACCAAACCCAAGTCTCCTTCCCCCAGCTCCTTAAATAAGAAGCTATCTTTCCTCACTTGTTAGGCAAAATTCAAGAGGATTTCTGATATAATGAACGGCATTTAGAAATACAATAGAAAAATTCTTATTAAATTAGTTTCTGAATTGCTTAAATTATTCAATACAGTCAGGCAGTGTATCAAACTTCCCACACAGAGAGAACAGTTCAGCTCTTTCTGATATCATTAAGATGTAACATCATTAACAACATTTTTGTGCAAAGTTTCCACAAGGTATTTTGAAACTGCTTTCTCTGGAAGGCTTTGCAAGTTTGTAAATGAAGTAATTTCAAATGCACTAATGAATGCAGAATGTTAGTAGAGGTTTCCTAACTTATAACTTTAATTTCAATTAGATCTGCATACAAAACTGTCACTATTGAGTAAGAAAGTGGCACAGACTCTAAGCAGGCTGATTTGCACAGCAGCAGATTTAATGGGAAAAGCTCTTCTCTTTTTATAGACAGTTCTGATACATTCAATGTGATTGGCTAATTAACAAAACACTTTTCTCACAAACAGTCCTTGAGAAGAACAGAAAAACAGAGTAGGAAAACACCACTTGCGGGTTATTTATACTAACAAGTTATCATCATTTCTCTACAACTCCCTAAAAAGTCTCACAAGTCCACTGTGAGAAAACTAATCTCGTTTTCTCGCTCTCTGACCAGGCTGTCACATCCACAGTTCCCCCTTTTTGTTTAAAGATGGAGGCGGTGTTTTTAATCCTCTGCAGGGCCCCTTGCAGGAAGGAGAACGAACACTGCTCCAGAGGTTCCTCAATTGGACGTCAATTAAAAATGGTCAGAGAGATTGGATCTTGTGATTCCCTCTTACAAGAAGTGTGCTATCTAATCCTAAATAATTTACTTATTCTAATACAATCTCAATAGTAAATTTA